GCTCTGTCATTTATCTCCTCCTTTCTTTTCATTCATCCACCCTACATTTATTGGTGCCTGCTACATGCCAGGTCCAGTGCCTGGTGACATGTTCAGGTTTATCTTCCTGTGTCTGATTTCCAGACACTTCAGTGCTACTGATTCCCACCGTGGTTAAATGAGTGGCTTGAGTTAGCTGCCTGTGTTCAAATCCCACCCTGGCTTCTGGTTAGCCATGCGGCCTCACACACGTCATTTAATCTCTCTGAGCCTCTGTTTCTTCTTCAGCAACTTGAGGATGTTCCACTGTGGCTTCGAGGGTTAAACCAGCACTCAGCCTGGTGACCCATCTGTAAGAAGCCCCCAGTTCCAGTTAGCTCTTGTTACATTATTATACCATCGTTATATTATTCTATCTCCTGTCCACCCACAGCCCCAGCTGTCCCTCCTCAGCTCTCACAAGGAGCACCCTTCTCTGACTTCTGCCCTTCTCTCTTCCATCTCCTCCCCCTCTTACCCATCCTTGACCTCCTCTGACTGTCTCCCACTGTCACTGACAGCCCCACAGTGGCTGGATTCTCGGTGCCAACAGGAAAGCATCCAAGCTCCAAGGCTTGGCATTCAATGCTGCCTGTGATCTGGCCTCAGCTGATTCCTCCCGGAGCATGCAGAGGGGGCAGAGCTGTCTCTGTGCCTCGGGCTCCTCATCTGTGAAGTGGGAACATTACTCACTCATGGGTCATTTGAGGATTAAACCAGAAAATCCTTGTAAAGTTCTGAGAAGAGTACCTGGCACCTGGAAATGAGTAATAATGTGCGGCGAGAGGCCTTTGCGCGGCTATTTCCTCTTCCTGGAACATTCCCGCTCCTCCAAGTGTGTCTGTCATCCCATGCTGTCCTTCAGACCCAGGGCAGTGCCTCCCCATGTAGGGGCAGGCCCCGTATTGGACGGGCCACACTGGTCACTGCCTCAGCCTCATTCTCCCACTTGCCCAGGAGCTCCTCAAGGTCAAGGCCAGTGTCTGCTTCATCGTGGTAAGTTCTGCAGCTGCAGAGAGTAGAGGTGAGAGAGTTAACCACTGTTAAGCACTTACTTTGTGCTGGACACTACGTCCGCTGCTTAACATCGCTTAATGCACTTAATATCACAGCCCCTAATGGGTGGGCGTGATCATCCTGTTCTACGTATAAAAGAGCTGAAGCTCAGAGAAATGGAATCAGCCAGCTCCTAAGTGGCAGAAGCAGGATTTGAACCAGATCCCTCTGACTCGAATTCTAAAGTCTGGGTTTTCACTGCTATGCCAGAAAGTACTTGCTGCATTGATTGTATGCTTACTAAGTGCCAGGCACCGTTCTGAGTGCTTTAGCTAGGTCATGTCATCAGTCCCTGAATCAGCCCTACTTTCTAGGAACTGTCTTCACCTTCATTATTCAGTTGAGGAAACTGAGGCACAGAGAAGTTAAGTGGTATGTGCAAGGCCACACAGCTAGGTAGTGACAAGGTCAGAATTTGAGCCCAGTACCCACCCCCACCTCTGGAGCCCAGGCTCTGAACTCCACCCTTAGGGTGAGGAATCAAGCAAGACTGAAGGGAGCACCTTGCAGCCCTGGAGGGCTGACGATTTATGGCAGGGGGGCAAGGGCTGAGTGGAGGGTTGGTGGTAGGTCCGGATCTGTTTTCTAATCTCAGCAGCCCCAGTGTGACCCCTCCCCACCACATGGCCTCCTGCGTGGCTGAGTCACCTTTGGGGTGAGTCACCTCCCAGGGAATCTGGATGTCCTTCCAGCCATCCCCTGCCAGGTCCCTCTAGCTCCAGACAAAGGTGCCTTTTGGACTCTAAGCCCAGGTGATCTCCCCGGCGCCAGGGCTGCCTTAATCCTCCCAGGGTGTCCAGGAGGGACCGAGGGGACAGGCTGGCCTCAGGATAGAAAAGGCACAGAGCCTCCGGTGACCGGCACCACTTTCATGTGTGCACTGCCCTCTACAGTTTGTAGTGTGCATTGGTTCCTCTCTCTCAGGGGTGGGGAGAGGCCCTCTTGGCGCTGTATTTCATTTAAAAAGATCATTTATTTGTATCACAAACATTTTGATCACACTTACTAAGTGCCAGGCAACAGGGAACCACACAGACTTTAAACAGGGAAGACCCAGGAGCTGAGTTACTCAGATGAGTGGCATCATTTTGAAATGTATTCTCTAGTTTCCCATTGTACAGGGGTACACATTGGGGCACCGAGAAAGAAAGTCACTGCCACAAGTTTATGCTCCTAGCAGGCCAGGCAGAACTTACCCCTATTCAGGGCCTGCTTTCATCAAGGGAAACTAACTGTTTAGAGAGCTCTGAGGCTCCAGAGACAGTCAACACATTTCCCATGTAATTCTCAAAACCCTCCTGGGAAAGTGTGAGCATGCCCATTTTGCAGGTGGCCAGATGGAGGCCAGGGAGAAGTGACTGTGGACGCTGAAAGGGCAGATGGATACGGGAACGCAGGAGTGTGTAACTCTTGGAGTCCCCATTCCCTGTGGCAGGAACCCTTCCAGCCCCCACAGGAGGCAATGAGGTGGTCTGGGCTGAAGCTACTTCCTCATGCCCCTCGTGACCCTCCCAGACTTGCTGTCACGTGGGACCCAGGATGATAAGGATACAGACACCACCCACTGAGCCCGACTGCGTGCAAGGCCTGTTCTCAGAGCTTTGCAGTTCAGGACGGTTCCAATCACCATCGTACAACCAAGGAAACAGCGAGAGCTGGCAGCAGAAGTCAAGCCCAGCAGCAAGCTCCAGAGCTCTTAACGATTCCATCCATGCACCCACTGCAGATGGGGAAACTGAGTCCCTAGGTGGGGCTGGCCCAGTGGCACAGAAGAAGTGAGGGGTGACATCGGCCAAGCTTGGCAGGACTTATATCAATGATGCCTACCTTCAGAGCCCCCACTGCCTCCCGGGAGGAAGGAGGGGGCATCTCCTTGGGGAGTTGGGGACAAAACACATTTATTCCCAGTTTGACTTGAGAGCAGGCATTGGTAGAGAGAGAAATGCTCCCCTGTCTCTCAGAATTCGCAGACAGGGAGGGTTGGAGCAGGGAGGAGGTGGCATTGATTAAACATACAGGTAGACCTGGATTGGGACTGTGGATGGGAAGAAAGGAGGCCTCAGGGAGCCCTCAGTCCAGTGGAGAGCAAAAGATAAATCCATTCATTCATTCATTCACGTGTTCATTGTTACACTGGCATCTGTGCCTGTGCTGGCCTAAGAGTGGGGGCACATAGCTGGTTTGCCTGGAGAAATGACACCTCACTATGGGCCTCAGGGATAGCTTTCCACAGCTGCTGACACTTTTTTTTTTTTTTTTTTT